CTTCTTCTTCTTCTTCTTCTTCTTCTTCTTCTTCTTCTTCTTCTTCTTCTTCTGTCTGGGAAGTAACCAAAAGATAATCACCGGCGTCTGTGGTGTAGTGTGTAGTGGTTAGGCACTTTGACGTCCAACGCAAAAAGCCCGAATTCAATTCCTATGTGGTGAGAATTTCTATATTATCGAATATGTATCAAACTTTCTATTAGGAAAATGTATCCCTCTTAGATTTGTTTTGCCCGGATAGGCAGTGTCGGAACCTGCCTCATAAATGTTCTTAAATACGTCGATGATGGCGTAAAAATATCCACTAAAATTTGGAGGTCCCACCTCTCAAGCAACCTTACAGTGTGAAAAAGAGGAGTCAGACTTAAATACATTTAAATGATTTTATAATGACAATAAAGGCTATTTTGCGATGTTCTTTTTCAAAATCATTTTACAACAGCCCCTTGGAGCGAAGTTTGAGATGTGGGAGTCACCCCCAAATTTAACGTCCATCTCCGATAGGTTCAGGTGAAATGGACAGAGAGCCTTAAAAACTCCTCAAAATGGAAACAATGTAATTATGGCGAACAAATAAATTAAAAGAACATTTTAAAGAAAAGGGGGAGGGGGGCATGGCGCTTTTGGCCCTAATGTAATAAACATGACTTTATATTTTGTTCTCCTTTTACGCTTTAGTTCCTTCTTCCTTATTCTACACAGACCCGCGTGCTCCACCTCCAAATCTAAATCGAAAGCACTTTTCCATGAAATCTCAAAGTGAAATTAATTTGGTTTTTTTGGTTTCCTCAGCTCCCAATAGGACCAATAACTACAAAACAATAGACGATGACACGGTCGGAAATCAAGCCGCAGAAATCCAAAAGGCAACAGGAAAAGAGAACAAAAACAGAATGCATCCTTACGACGAGATCACAGACGAGCAGCTCGCGGAAGGGAGAGCGGCAGCCAGTGCCAATGGCTACCCCGGCACGTCCGGTGTGAGGTCACATGACGCGGCCCCGCCCTCTGCAATGACATTACAGAACGACAGACACGGCGCTTCTGCTGCATCCGGGGGTGACAGCACAGATGACGTTTCCGACTTGTACGCGAAAGTGAACAAAGTCAAATTGAATGAGCCAGAAAAGGTCAGCCTCATTCAATTATATCTTTTATATCATTATTATTATTATTATTATTATTATTATTATTATTATTATTATAATCTTATTAGCATTATTATCGTTACCGTTACCGTTATCGTTATCGTTACCGTTACCGTTATCGTTACCGTTATTATTATGCCGGTGGTTGGAGCGTGCCATCAGTAGGTCCTACTACTTCTTTTTTCTCTCTGCTGTTTTCGTCTGTCTGTTTGTCCCGCTTTTTCTTCCTCTGAATTATGAGTGTCATTGTGCCACTCCCGCACAAGCACGCACACACACACACACACACAC